CAAAGAAAAATTCATCTGTAGAGGGATTCCAGTTTAGTCCTAGAACTTTAGAGGAAGAAAGAGAATTTATATTTAAAGAGAGAGAAGAATCCATTTTGCATTCATTTGGAGATAACTGAGAAAGAAAATCTGAGCTATTCGAAGTCCATTTTCTAAGTTCAAAACCGCTGTGTTCCAGTATAGAAATGAGATCGCGTTGAATTTTTATAGCAAGAGAAGAGAATCGCAACCAGATATAATATCATCGACATACGTATCCATATCTAAAATCTTTGATGCTTCGGGGATATTTTACTAAATTTTCTAAAGCAATTTGTTTTATAACTCGAATGGCTAAAAATGGGCTACAGCTTAAACCAAAAGTAACGCGAGTAAGTTTGTATTCTTGAATGGGCTCATTAGCGTTAAATCGCCATAAAATTTTGAGGTATTCAGTATGATTTTCATTAACAAGAATTTGACAAAACATTTGTTTAATATCGCTAGCAAATACAATCAAATGAGATCTAAATCGAAGTAAAATAGATAAAATATCTGACTGTAATTTTGGCCCAGTTAAGAGAGTGTCATTCAAAGATTTATTTGTGTAATCTCGAGCGGAAGCATCAAAGACAACTCTAAGTTTGGTCGTGAGACTATCTGGTCGGATTACGCAATGATGAGGCAGATAATAAGAATAAGCGTTGGGAGAAGGATTTTGCACGGCAACCATATATTGAGAATCTAAATATTCGCGCATGTAATTAGAATATTGAGAATAAAGTTGAGGGTTTCAAAAGCAATCGTTTTTCGAGGGAGAAAAATCTACGAAGGGCGACATCTCTAGAACCTTCAAAGATCGGTTCCAAAGTTTTAAAATGGTAAAGATACTTTATAATGTCCAGAAAGAGTGCGTGAAAATGTTTTACAAAGTGTTCTTCGGCAAGCTTTTCATCTGAAGAAAGCGTCGAGGATTGTGGAACTCCTCTAACTCCCAGAATCTTTGAAGTGATTGATCCAAGGAAGCATAAGAGGTAAGAAAGTATGAGTTTACAGAGAGTGAAACACTAGATGTTTTAACTCTTCCTGTAATTATCCATCCAAATATAGTTTCTAAAGCGACGGGTTGATCTGGATCTGAGAGGAGTTTGTTTCCTGTTATCAAGAAACCATAAATATCTGCACCCAAAAGTATATCTACGGGTTTAGAGAGGTGAAAGTTGGGATCAGCTAAGGGCAATTGAGAAAACTTTGAGAACTGTTCAACGGGAAGAGAATTAATCGGTAAATTATCACTAATTTCGTTTAATATAATAAACTCCAAGGAGTAGATCGGATCAGACTTTCCAATAGGTTTAATGTTGCATCTAACACCGTGAGAACCTTTGGAAATATTTTTCCCGATGCCACACAATTGGATGGGGAGGAAAAATTTAGATAAACCTAATTTATTAAAACAAGATTTTGAAATAAAGTGACTTTCACTTCCACTGTCAATTACAGCGCGTATTACATGAAAATTACCCCACGCATCTTGAACATTGATTAATGCTGTAGAAAGAAGAGCTTTATTCTTATGTTTTGCAAATAAATTTGTAGATACAACTTCTGAGATAGAGCTGCTTGCTTGCAGAACTGGAAGAGTTTGCGATGAAGTGGATGGAGGAACGTTTACAGGAGTTGTTATTTGACCTTCGAAATGTAAAAGCGAATGATGTTTTTTGCCACAAGTTCGGCATGAGGAACGAGAATTACAACTCTTAGAAGAATGTCTAGTGCCGAGACAGTTTGAGCACCAACTTCGGGATTTAATTAAATCATATCTCTGTTTTGGAGTAAAAGCAATAAAATCTGGACAGTTATAAATAAAATGATCCTTGTTACAAACTTGACAAGTTAAATTTTGTTTCAACTGAGTGTTGACAACAAAGGAAGAGGTAGGTTTATTTTTATAACTTTTTTGTGAATACTTCGTTTTAGTTTTGTCATAATTACTATTTTTATTAAAATGAGAAAACGATTTAGTTAGAGAGATTGTATCTTTAGCTGAACATTGTTTTTCTAAAAATTCAATGAGTGTATCGTATGATTTGAGGTATAGCATATCTTGTGATAAAACAGAGCCACATTCCAGTTCAAAATTAGTTTGCAAAATTTCTGGAAGTCTATCATAAATCATATTAAATAGCACAAAACTCCAGCTCTCTGTGGGAAAACCCAAGTTATTTAAAATTGTAATATTACGAGTATAAATATCAATCATATTTCTTAGAGCTTCATGATTATTTTCGTTAGAGATGGGCTTAATATTTTCTAGAGCCTGCCAGTGAGCTTTTGCAATCAAACGTTTCTTATCGTACTTATTTTTTAAGGCTTGATATGCTATATTATAATTTTGATTGGCAAGTGGAGTACTAGATACCAAAGCTAAAGGAGGACCTCGTAAGAAACTCACTAGATAGTTGTATTTCGATATATCACTAAGAGACGAGTTACAGTGTATAAGAGAATCAAACATATCGATAAATGTTTGCCAATGTTTAAATTCACCATCAAAATGGGGTACCTCAATTTTAGGAAGTTTTACTGAACATTGAGCAGTAGTGTTTTGTAATTGTGTTGTATCCAGCTCCGATTTCGTTTGCGGAAATAAATTTGTGAATAATGCTTCAATGTGAAAATAATAATCATTAAATTCAGTTTGAATTTTGACATGAGGATCAATATCGCCATTATCCTGTGCGGAAACTAATAAAATTATATTATTATGAATCTTATCAAAAGTTTTATAAATATCTTCTAAGTGTTTTGCTCTACATCTAAAGTTAGGGTGAAAATTTGGATCTTCAAGAGCTTCATCAGCGGATTTTAGTAAGTTCTACAGAGCGTTGAGCTATAAGAGTTTTTAATTTGCGAGCGTCTGCAGACATAGCGAAAATGAGTATAATAATTAATTAGAGCGTAAGAGAAAAATGGAATGCTATAATGTGAGAAAATAAAATATTATAGAATATAATAATTAACTGAGAGAGAGAGAGAGAGAGAATGATATATTCTACAATAGAATATTATATGAGAAAATAATTATTATATTTTTACCTTATAAGGTGAGAAAATAAAATATTATAGAATATAATAATTAACTGAGAGAGAGAGAGAGAGAGAGAGAATGATATATTCTACAATAGAATATTATATGAGAAAATAATTATTATATTTTTACCTTATAAGGTGAGAAAATAAAATATTATAGAATATAATAATTAACTGAGAAAGAGAGAGAGAGTAATTAACTAAGAGAGTAAGAGAGAAATAGAATAATTCACTGAGAGAGTGTATGTGTGTGTGTGTGAGAGAGAGAGAGAGAGAGAAAATAATTATTATTTTTTTTAATTAAAATTAATTATATATTATAATAATAATTATTATTTATTAATTAAAAATTAAATTATTAAGAGAGAGAACAGAGTAGAGTTGAGACTAAATGCGTATCGATAAATTTGAGCGTGAAAAAGAAATATCCGGACCAGTATCGCGAAACAGCGCTAGATATCGCTTTTAACACCGGTACGGCAATTTAAAAATCGATCGGTCGGTGGCAAATTCCTGGCCAGTGGAACCAGTGACAAAAAATGTACTACCTTTTTTTACTGCGTTAAAGAGAAGATAAATATAGATTTTGTTCGAGAATTTATTTTATTGAATATATTTAAAATAATATATTACAAAAATATTAATGATATTTAGATAATTTTGAGAAATTAATTATGATAATCAATTTAATTGAGTATAAGTAAAATATGTATGTAGTTCAGAAAGGGATCCGGCTCGAAGGACCAATGTTACGGGCGAGAATTAAGGGGCTCAGTTCATTAAGGTGAGTTAATGTATCAGGACTGTGGGCACTCACCTTTATTCCCGTTCTGGACTCGTACCTGTTGATTTTTTGCTTGAACAAAACACTTGAGGATAGCGCGCGCTTGGAGGTGTACACTGTGTACTCGGCCGATCTTGTCTCTCTCCGTACTCGACTACGGCTACGTACCCACTAAGGTTTTTCGGGTAAAGGAGGGGAGGAAGGGATAGAATCCAACAGAGATACTTGCAAAATATGCATATAAATTTTGTGAATGTAAATAATAATACATCACTATTAGTAGATGTTGAATGTTTTTTTGTTAAATTAGATCCATTTTCAAACTCCCAAATTTAAAATATATTTTACATTTTACCCAATATCTTATGTACCTATTCATTATTTCTATATTGTAAAACATTTGCTGCATTTGTATGGTTCATAGTTTATTTGCCAAAGTATTTATTACTATAAATAGGTATATATGAATATTTCATGTAAACTATATCGTTTTTAAAATACAAACCAAAAATACGAGGAATAATTATGTTTTCCATGTATTCTACAACATATTTATTAATCCGTGGTGTCTAACTAGCGTGACGTCATAAATCTCGCTTCGAGGCTGTTCTATTAGAAACGGCATTGGTCTGATATTTAGAAATGTCAAAAGCTGATGACATTTTACTTTTGACAATTATGTCATTTCGAGTTGATTTTTGCAAGAAGAGGAAGAACTGTCACTTGTTTTATTATTTTCCTTTTCTATTTCATGAAAGTAAAAAGAGTTACCTATCTGATTCGTTCAGGCACTCAATTTAAAGAATATCAGTAACTTTTTTGATAGAGTGATTTTATATTTGCCGTGTTGGTAAAAAATAACGGCCAAAATTCAAAGTTATTCATTTTATAGACTATACTAAAGTTTATCGCACGAATGGTTGTCGTCTCGGCGCACGTGATGAGATGTTCTGGTGTTTTCCCATAGAAAACACCCCACAGAAAACACCGTGATAATCACACAATTATTAAGCAACATTGTGCTTAATTAAATCAAGGAAATCATTTAAAGAACAACACCGTTCAGTTCTCATCTTCACTTATTTAACTTTGACATTCTAGAACCTTATTTTTTTTCGAGGAATTTTTAAATAAAACAGCTTAATAATATATTTTAATTTTTATTATTCAAAACTTATCTATACCACAGCATTATCAATACATTTACAAAAGGAGTGAATGTGTTGAAAGATCAATATCTACCAGAGGAACTCCGTCTTTGGTTTGGTCAATTTTGTCAACGCTGTAAGTACCATCGTCTAAAATAGAAAGAAATATATTATTAAAGATCTCGAAAAACTATTTTTTGTTTTGTTATTGGCACTTACCCTTTTTGTTGTATAGGTATACTGTTTGAACGCTGAGCGTAAAGTTGGATGAGTCACTGTCTGAATCAATAGAGCTAGAATAGAAAAAAATAGTACATTATAAATGAAACAGTAAAAATAATTATTTATTAATTAATAAAAATTGAGGTAATAAAATAAAATAAAATATAAGGTAAAGCAGATAATGGTACTGACTTTTGAATTGTTTTTGTCCCACCCTAATTCAAAACCAAACAGTGCTCATGCTATTTGTTGTACTTACGTTACTTTCACAGACTTAGAAGCAGAATCATAGTCGAGATTGGCGTATAAGTATTGTTTCTCGTTTACATAGTTGAAACTTTCGAAGTCGTCAATGTAGACTCTGCCGGTAGCATTTCCATTCTAAAACAAAAAAAATATCAATTTTTTTCTAGAAACAGATGAAAAATAAAAATTAGAAATTAAATGACAATTTATAAAACCACCTGCTAAATTATAGATAGATATTTATAGACTTTTAATAAAAGAGGAACTTTATTATTCCAACATTAATTATCAAATAACTATCCGATTGGATTTCTAATCGCAATCAGGCTGAAAACTAATTTACAGTTCTAGAATTGCCAATTTGTATACTAAAGCATTTAGCTTCAAACGAAACGCACTTTGTAGATCGGTAATTGCATTATTATTAAAAAACAAGAGGTATTTTCGTTTAAATGAAAACAGATCTATTTTTAACGTAAAATACCGTTATAGTTATTAACGTAATAAGGCCGATAAACAACAAATAACGGCCGGGCTGAAGTTTGTGATCCGAGGCGATAGCCGAGGATCATAAGCAGCCAAGGCCGTTATTTGTTATCGGCCGTGTTGCGTTCTAGATTTTTCGTCATACTGCAGATTTTTTAGAGCAATAAACACTACTATTTAATAACAAATTTTATTGATAAAAAATACATAATGTCTTATACTAAAATTCATTTTTCATGATAATGAACATGGAAATTAAAAGTGCACTTGTTGTTCTTAGAAATCTGTAATCCTTCCCAGGGATTTACAGATTTTATAGAAGAAGATGATGCTACTGAAGAATGGCAAATATTTGTATCCACTAAAGACACATTATTTTTGGAGCTATCATGAAAAGTTGATTTGTTATTTTCATTCTTTTGGAAACTGATTTTTCTATGTAAGTTTCTGCCACTGTTGAAGACTCCCATCCTCCTAGCTCCTTTAGCGATAGTAAATCACCACCATTTTCGGCGAGCATGGTTGCTGATGATCTACGAAATGAATGCCCTGTATAACGTTCTGGATTCTCCAAGTTCAAAAATTTTGCAATTTTCTGCGGTACGCTCCCCGATGGTATGTATACCGACGATTTGCTTAACACACTTGCCTTTCTTGTAACCAATGAAAAATTTTGGATTGTCAAAGTTACGAGGACGCAGGTTGATGTATTTTTGTATAAACCATAGGCATCAAACGGAAGGCCCGTTTTTGGAATAAGAAATTTCCTATCTTTCTTTATTTTTAGTATTTCTTAATGAGACAAGAATATTTTTCTCCGAATCTTCGAAATCATCAACTGTGAGTGACCAAAGCTCGCTGCGCCTACAAGCTCCAAGAATACCAAGCACCAATACAATTTTTTCGAGTAACCAGGTGTAATCATCGGCATCCAGTAGAAAATTATATATGTCATTCTCCGACAGAACTTTGGCTTTTTTTGGTGAATAACCTTCGTTTTTGCGCCTCAGAAACATGAACAGTTTACCAAATCTATGAACAAATATAATTTAGATGAGTATGATTAAATATCGAAGAATATAATGGCTTTTACCTTGATATGTCGATGTTTTCATATACTCTCAACGCAAGCTTCAGCATGGATATCTTTGTCCACAGTGATGTAGGAGAATACATTTCAGACATTCTTTTAGCATAAGCCAGCAATACCGCTTCATTTACGCTGTTTATACTTCTATCCTGCCGCCACTTCAAAAAATTGTCATATTCCTGCTGATATCTCTCTCTGGTTATAGTCGGAAGTAAATTTTGAGTAGCCGCAGCCGCTTCCTCCTGTATTTCCAACGGAATTTCTCGCGACATCTCGCTATGGTCTATTTTCCCAATTTTTGAAAAGTCCAACTGACAATAAATAGTCATTGTTGCAGGTGACAGACGTTACGATTACCTTAGAAACTTAACGGCCGCCGGCCGTTATGATAACGTCCGGCGGACGTTATATGCATCTTTTCCATTCTGATTTTGCTTATGTTATAATAATATAACAATATAGTATGACGAAAAATTTATAACAGTTTTAAAGCAACAATAATTTCATTTAAAATCATATCTTACCTTATCTGGTACAACATGAAGCTCATTAGGATCATCCTTAATATCTGCAGTAGATCTTTGTACATTGGGCTTCCTTGTTATGATACTTCCGGATCTGTAGAATACTGGAGTCTACAAAAATAATATAAATTATAATAGTTTTACCAAAATATCTATAATCCTATAATACACAGTAATTATCTAATATTTATATCAAATATCGACCGTCCCACATAAATTTGACTAATGAGATATAAAAAAAATTAAAATAGACATATCTTTTTCTTTTGAAATGTCTTATCGTTTGTTAGTTTCATACAAATAATTTTTAATATAATTTAAATAACTTACGAATGTTAGATCAACTGGGACATCGCTAAAGTTACCGCTTTCAAAAACAACAGGTGAATCTCCAGTAACTTGATACCAAGATTGGTCCTTTCCAGGGAAGTAAACAGATACTGAAGTAGCATTGGATTCATATACAGAAGCAGCCAGAATATCGCTACCTGAAAGTTAAAAAACATAACATAGTTTTCTCTAACTTTTTTCTTCGGCGGATTTGAATGTTATGCAAATTTTCTTCGTTTTTCTATTTGACTTTCTAAAGAATTTCTATTACTAGTTAGACTACTACACTTACCAATCAAAAGTTCATCAGTAAGGTCGTATCCAGTTTTGTCCTCAGGATATTCGTAAAGCAGGGGACGTACGATTGGGTCTCCAGTTCTGGTATGTTCGTAGAATAATGTGTACCAGTAAGGCAAGTGCTTGTAACGTAGCCCGATGGTTTCACGAAGGATTACCTGGGTCTCGTTAGGGAAACGGAAAGGTTCACGTCTGGGCGAGCCAAGAGCAGCGTGGGCTCTGAAGAATGGAAGCCAGATTCCAATCTGAAAGGAAGACAGTAAGATATAGTTCATATTCTCTATATATTTTGTTCCTATATATCTTTGTTTTGAAAGTTATGAAAAAAATAATTAATTTCCCTTTGTTCATTTTTATCCGTATATTTCTAAGCGTCATTGGTTTTAGATAGAGATGGGTAAAACGTAATTACCTGTTTGATATTTTTACAGTGACATAAAAGTAGCAATTCACGGCTGTTAACGATTTAACAATAAACTGTGAATGACGTTCAAGAGGCGTTCTCTGTATTTATTTATAAGTACGATAACAAAGCTATATACCGGGTGCGTCTCAGAAGTGGCCCACACTTATAACTTTTATATTTTTTCAGATAAAAAACGAGATTTGATGTGTTAGTATATGACATAAATTGGGATTGATTGACGTATTCAACTGTTTTCGGTCACTTCCAATTTCACCGATAATGGGTACAACTTTTGATTTTTAAATGGTACCGGTATTTTTCTACCTTATTCGATAAGAAATGACATTCTGAATAGAATGACATATCATATGTCAACTTTTGACATTTTCGCATACACGCATACCGATAATTTCCTCGAAATACTCAGTGTGTGGTACCAAATTATTCGTAAAAAAATGCTTTTTTCTAAATATGCTAATGAGCCACCCATGTTCCATTTGAAAAAATTGAGATATGATTAAAAATACGATTTGGGCATGTTTTAATCGAGGGGTAAACCGCGAGACCAATGCGGTGTACAACCCCAAACCAATGCAGACCAATTGTGTGGACTAATGGTGCCGATTAAGTGACAATGCTAGCAAATGGGGGAAATTGACCAATTTTGCAGAGCCAATGAAACCAATTAAGGGGAAATTGACAAATTTTGCAAAGCCAATGAAGCCAATTAAGGGAAAATTAGGGACCAATTATGAACCAATTAAAGGCTAATGTAAAATTATGTTAGTAAAAACTAGGCGCTATCGACTCCGCAAATCTAGCCGAGTCGACGACAGGGTTGCCAGATTGGACCCTTAAACGCCATTTAGGATATTTTTAATGATTAGTTGACGTTAGCACAAGAAAAATAATTATTTATTGAAGTTATTTACAGTGGCGTGAATACCAAATAATGGTTTCCGTTAAATACCTTAAACTCGTAAGGTCCGATTGACACGAACAAAAATTATGGTGAAATCATTAAGTAATTGTTTCAAAAATCTGGTCGCTAAAATGTTTTGAGGTTGTTTTACTGAGTCTTAGTTGCGTTTTATATTTTAACTACAAAAATCCTGAAGAATATTTTGAAAGCGCAGCAAAAGACCTACCTCAAAAACCTCAAAAAAATCATATTTTACTAACAAAATATTCAAATTAATTTTGGAATACTTTTTGTTATTATTTTTGCCATAACTTTCGCTCCGGTAAAATAGCTGTAAGCTTAAAAAGAATTTGACGCTTTGGCAATTCACGTCGAGAGAGAGGATTTTGGTGTCAAAGGTTGGATAAAATCTGGCAACCGCGACCAGCACCGGCGTATTGTAAACGAATATAATTCGTACGATGCAGCACGTATTTTCACTGTTTTCTTCTATCCGTTTTGTTTTGGTTTTGCTTTTCTCTCGGTGCTAAATAGTTGGTATGTTATGATGTGTAAAGCGTGTATTAGAGATTATTAAGCTACATAGTAATACGGTAAGAACTCTTGTAGGTATTATTAAGTTCAAAATTTAATATCGATACCTACGGTATAAAATAATAGGTGACTTATGCTCAAGCTTATGCAATAAGTGATCAAAATTTAACTTGTAGTGCATATGTCAGAAGATGCAGGACAGAAATGAAAATATCAGGACTCTCGTATTTATCTATAATACCTAATAGTAATAATAATAATATTCTATACAAAATTATTATTGAACCAATCTTTTTTGACAATTCGTTGACATTTACCCAGAGATATGAGATGGGGAGAGAATGTGCTAGACTGCACGAATTGTCCATAGATAGGAGTGGGGGAGGACATACATACTACAGAATATCTGAATTATGACAATTATTTGGAGGAAATGGGGAAATGGTGCTAATTCAAATGACCAATGGAAGGCCAATTATGACAATTCTTGGGGGAAATGGGAAAATAGTAGGTACCAATTCAAAAGACCATTTAAGACCAATTATGACAATTTTTTGGAGGAAATAGTGAAAATTCTGAAAGACCAATGTGCCAATTAAGAGCCAATGACCAGTGTAGTGTACACAATTTTGGATCGCGGTTTACCCCTCGGTTTTAATCGGCCAGGACAAGATACGAAACATATTATACAAAATAAATATAAAATACGATATTCTTTTAGGCGAAAATGTCATAAATTGACATTTGATATGTCATTCTATTTAGAGTGTCATTCTCGAATAAAGTAGAAATATACCGAGGGTGCATTTCAAAATCAAAAGTTGTCATTATTTCCCGTGAAACAGGAAGTGACCAAAAACAACTGAATACGTCAATCAATCCTAATTTATGTCATATACCAACATACCAAATCTCTTTTTTCTATCTTAAAAAATGAAAAAGTTATAGAGGTGAGCTTCTTTTGAAACGCACCCGGTATACCATCCATCTCCGCAATACTTCAGTATGTCCCTGAATTATCTTTACAAGAGGATTGCATTCTGGTCTGGAAAAAGGAGAAAAATGCATTCTACTTAAGAAAATTGCTTGTTCTACAATGGTTTATCCTATTTATACTTTTCAAAATTTCGATACCGTTTAGAAGGAATTAAGAAAAACATGAAAATATGGTTGAATTTTTCCACCTTTAAAAATTAAAAGGCGTTTCTGTGGTAATGTCATTTAGTTTTAATTCTTTGCTAGATGGTTAGTATTAATCTTGTTTCGTCATTGCTATTTTTTGCTATTTTAGTTAAAAAAACACAACATTTATAATCACCTTTTTCGTAACACCAAACCAAATAAATTTTATACTTTTTCAACAGTTTAAAACAGCAAAAAATATGACGTTAATTAAAATTCCATCTATAACATTCTATCAAAGAATGAAAATGAATGATTCACTCCTAGACATGTAAATACAGACCCAAGACACTATGCTGCTGATAGAGTATAAATACTAGTGATGGGTTGTTATTTAACTATCTATTTTATAACAAATAACATAACGCAACCATTACTACCTTTAAAAAATAACAGATATAAAATACCGGCACGCAGAGATCGACCGTTCATGAAACGAAGTCGGCGCTCTGCACCGCCACGAAATTCGATGCTGCTCGAAGCAATTCCAAAAAACAACTAGTATGGATGGAAAACATGTTATTTCGACAACCATCGATACAGGCGGCGAGATACAATGGACAACGGAGTGGGGTATGCATTATAGCGAACGTAGCTGCATCGGTCGATGCCGTCGATGGTCGTGTTGGGCTTGCAACAGCTTAAAAATAATAGGATATAAAAGAAGCAGCTTTTTTGAAACAGTTGCGGGTATAACGCCTGGCGGTCGAGATAACAGGAGTGGGAAAGGAACGCTGCTGCATCGGTCGATTGTCGATGGAGGCTCGCAACGGGTTGGAGAATAACGCATCAGTTGTTTTAGATACAGTGTTTTTCAACCTGTTACGAGCATAACGGGCGGAGGTCGAGATATTATGGCGCTGTATGTTTCAGTACGTTATTAAGTTTCAATATTTAGGTATTTAGTTATTCTGAAAAATTTTCAGAATAATATTTTAAGATTTTTTAAAAATGTATACAGGGTGTTTTGAAAAATCTGGTCATTGATTAATCACGATTCTGCTTAAAGCCCTTCACATAAAAAGCTGATTTTTGGAAAACGGATTGACTTTAGGGTGTAGAGGTTCGATAAGAAGGGATTTTTCCAAACTCGAATTCTAAGGGGTGAAACCACCCTCAAACATTAGAATATTTTTTATTTAAAAACCGGTGAGTTTTTCGAAATAACTCTTAAACACGTATATTTTACTTTGTTGTTTTACGTATTTTAAGATTTTTAAAAAAATATACAGGGTGTTTCGTAAAATATGACCATTGAGTAATTACGATTCTGCTTAAACTGCTTGACGTTTAAAGCTGATTTTTGGCAAACGGATTGACTGTGGGGTGTAGAGGTTCGATAAGGAGGGGTTTCCCGAATCTCAAATTCCAAGAGGGTGAAAACGCCTCTCAAATATTACAATATTTCTTATTTCAAAAACGCTTAGTCTTTCGGGAAAACGCTTGGACACGCATAATTTATTTTGTTTTTTACATATTTTGAAATTTTTTAAAAAATCATACAGGGTGTTCCAAAAAGTTGAGTAATTGATTAACCACGATTCTGCTTAAACTGCTCGATATTTAGAAATGTTTTGACACCCTGGAAATACTACCACCGAGCACGTCATTGTTGCAACTTGCAACTGCGTTAATACACCTGGCGGTGACCGCCTCATACTCTTTCAGATATTTAGCAAACAAATAAAGAAACCTGTTATTTTTAAGCTGGTATTTTAAGCTGTTTTTTATAAATAACTATAACAGTTTCAACTGTTTTCTAAAAGTAACAGTTTTGCCCATCACTAAAAATACCTAAATTAGGAAACTAAATAATAAGTGTAGTAATCGTACCTGGTACCATTTGATGAGCAATTCCTCGGTGGCGGTTCCGAAGAATCCGGGAATATCAGCTCCGTAGAAGGCTACTCCTACCAAGTTGGAGGTTAAGGCCATAGGTACGCTGTATCTCAAATCTTCGAAGTAACCCCAGTTATCACCGCTCCATTTATTAGCGTACCTTTGGGATCCAGCGAAGTACGAACGGGAGAGAATGAAAGGTCTGAGTTTTCCCTCGTCACGAGCAATAAGACCTTGGTGAGTTGACAAAGTCTACAAAACAAAATTTATTAAATTCTAGCAAAAATGAATATCACAGACGTAACTAATTTTATTCAGATTAATCATGCAACAACAAATACCATGTACTTCAATCTTTATTGCCAAATATGTATGTAGATAATAGTAGCACACCTTTTAAAAATAAGTTTTCAGAAATACAGTGTGTTTCAAAAACCATGTGCCACCTCTCGTGGGGAGAATCCTCACGTAAAAATAAGATTTATTTTTCATAGCAACTTGGGTCCGATTCTGCTTTGTTTTGAGGCTACAGGAGGCTAAAGTTTTCATTTTTTTTTCGATTTATTTTAATTTTCTTCCAAGTGTTTTTAGCGATTCGAATGAAATTTGAAGGGTAAAATTTACTATGAGTACTACTTATTTTAATTCTAAAAAAAAATGTCCGACAGATTTACCAGGGACGTGCATATGGGTTATCCAGTGGCGCAACTAGGGGGTGGTGAGCAAGGGGGCCTGAGACCCCCAGATGTCTGGTGCGGATCGTATAAACTTGGGTTTACCTCATATCAATACCTAAGCCCCCCCCAAAAGACTTGAATCACCCTAAAAGTTGGTATCTAGTTGCGTCACTAGGGTTATCACTGGAATATTTTTCTAAAAAAACATATGCGCCACTGACGTTTTTCGTCTTATTAGCAAAAGTGTGTAGGAAATTTATTGCTGATTAAAAGTTGTATCTTGTTATTTTGTCCATTTCGATCTCGATGAGATAAAAGCAATTTTAATAATAACAATTCATAAAATTGAAATAAAAACAAAATTAATAAATTATTTATTTAATGAAATTTATTATTAAAATTTATCACACTGGTGCACAAGGTGGGTTAAATTGGACGCTTTTAAAGGGAAACACCCTTTTACAGGGTGTTTTTCAAAAATCTGCATTTTTAAAAAATCGCTGTAACTCTTTTGCTATGAAAAATGTTGTATTTTTATGAAAACATTTATTTTTTAAAAACCATAGAAAATCAAATTAAAGATATAGATAATTAAATGGTTTAAGTATAATTCTTTTAAAATTAATAATCTATATTTTAGTTATATGTATTTTTGATTTGGAACGCCCGGCCCTGGAGATATTTAATTAATTAATAATATTAATAAATGCCTTTGTTGAAAGAAAAGAAAACAAATACATAGAAGAAAAAAGTAAACATGTACGAAAATTTCAGTGCCTCGACCCGGCGCAGTCTAGCTCAATAGCTACTACTACTAATTAACTGAGAAGAACTCTTAAAATTACCTTTCCAAAAATATAACACACTTGATATTTTGTTATAATCCCCTTCGAAATACAGAATTTTTAAAATTTTGCCACTTTTAACTAGTAGCCTTTGGACCCCTTATTGATGATCTGTCCCATGGAACTCGAAAACATATTTTTCCAGCAAGACGAGTCACCGCTTCAAATTTTTATGGCCAATTTCGAGAATAATTGAATATCTAACCGAAATCTCAGCCGTTGGCCGTCTAGGCGTTCGGATTTAGCGCCTATGGATTTTTATGTTTAGAGAAGAATAAAGGTTCTTTTATTTTAAAATTGCCCGTATAATCTAGACAATTAGAAGTAATTAACGGTAAGGTATTTTTCACCTTCACTGAGTTAATGAATTCCGCGAGAAATGTTGAAAAACGGTCTCGTCTGTCCATAACAGAAAACTGTCGACATGTCGAACACCTGTAGGAAAATCTCAAGTCTTGGTTCGCTATTTATTTTTATTGTGATTGGATATAGTTTAAATCTGTTGATGTTGTTAAATATAGTTTAAATTGCTATAAAATTCTGCATCTCTCGTTGCAAATACCTATTATTTTCTTTTTAATTGCTGCTCACAGCTAGATTTTTTTTTGCATTACAGCCGGTGCTGTTCAAAGACAGTTTGTGACTGTTGAAGTTCAGTTTGCACAAATTAACTGATAGTCTAAACTGCCATTAAAGGCAAAGAATGAAGTAGTGAATAATGTTAAAATTAAAAACTGAATATAGATCCTTACTCTAAATTAATTAATAATATTATTAAAGTATCTCACCTGAAGCAAACCATAGATATTGTGCACATCCCTATGTTTAACGTTACCATAATGCAAAGTATCATAAGGCAACGACCTTTCGTACAGATTATCAAACAAAGTAGGCTCGTTCATGTCGTTCCAGAAACCGCCAAGAGCCGGCGTGGACGGGAAGTTAGAGTACAAGTGCAAATTGGCATAGTAATCCCTTGCACCGGGGTTCAAATAATCGATCCAGCTGGTTTCACCAGGCCAGCATTCAGACTCGAACGCAGATCCGTTCGGACTATTGACGAAGTAGCTGTTGTTCAGCAAATCGGTGTAGATGGAGTAGTTGAGGTCGATCTTGATATGGGGATCGGAAATGGGGACCAGTTTACGGTGGCCTTGGGAATCGACCCAGTTCAATAGGTCGACGGGATCGGGGAAGCTGGTGGCGTTCCAGGTGAACCATCTACGTTCTGAGGTGTATTCGATGTCCAGCCAGAGCACGTCCAGTGGAAATTCGTATTTGTCGAAGTTGCCGATGGTGTCTTTAACGTCTTCGGTGGTGTTGTAGGCCCATCTGCATTGGTGGTAACCCAAAGCCCAGATCTATATTATAGAAAAAATTATAATAATTATTTATAATAATATACAGGGTGCCGCCTCTCATACGCCGCGGAAGCTCCAAGGAGAATGGTAGTTTATATCGAAATGAAATTTTGGCAGCATATGTAGGTTAACTGAAAAATTTTAATAAGAATATATAGAATTATACAGGATGTCCTTAAAAAAAGTTACACATCAAAGTTGTGTTTTTTTTTCTAATGGAACACCCTCTATATTAATTGATTTCGGATTCTAGGAATTTTGACAATATTTAACATTTTGTGAAAATGAAGAGTAAATTTTAAATTTCGATAACAGCTACCTAAATTTTAGTTGACCTTGTAGAGTCTGATATTTAATTACAGTAACCATGATCTATCTATCTATCTATCTATCTATCTATCTATCTATCTATCTATGTTAAACCAAATTGAAATTTGACCCGAAAAATTATACAGGGTGAGAGAAAATTAATATGGAACATTACTCACTTGTAAAAACAAGTTACTCCTTTATTTTAAATGGAACACCCAGTATAATATCCCGGTGTTCAATGGGGAATTTATATATCTTCAAAGTATTATTAAGGTTGCGTACCCCTCAGGCAAAGATTTTCGTAGATATTTTAATTTTCATGATTTTGCGTCACTAGATCTTTATTATTTGAAAAATCTAGGGTGGGCTGTGATATACCTTTTGTTACTTTAACAAAAATTAAAGAATGTAGAGTAAAATACTCAACGGTAAAAAAGATCCACGTTTAAAACATATTTTAATTATTACAGAATTAAAACTAGATATAAACCTATAATTATGTGACAAAAATTAACTAGATTGGAATCAAATGCTCAAAATGCTTCCTTTCTTGTTAACTGCATAAAATCATTGTCTTTTCAAAAGGATATTTTCATTTTAAAAGACATATGTGGAGTTCTACCTCGAAAAGCAGCTACAATAATTTCTCTTATGTTGTCGACAATAGTTGGTCGAGTTTTGTAAACACTCTCTTTAACATATCCCCATAAAAAAAAACAGACTAGATAAAATCAGGAGCATCTAAGTATTCTGTTAGGTTTGGCACACTGCATTCGCCAACTAATAGAATCATATTAATTCTTTCTGATGTAGGATAAGTTTGCATTTTCGGCAAATTTCTGAGAATTTTTTTTTGTTTTAACTGACACAAAATGATAACTAGTTGTTAAAGTTGGACTAATTAGACAGCTATGTTGAAGTAATGTCAGACATATCACAACCACCTAGATTTTATCAAATAATAAAGATCTACTCAGATCAAATCATGTAAATGAAAATATCTAGGAAAATTTTTGTTTGAGGGTCAAGCCTTAATAGTATTTTGAAGAGACATGAATTCTCCATGGAATATCGGAATAATATACTGGGTGTTCCATTTAAAATAAAAGAGTAACATGCTTTTAAAGGTGACCAATGTTCAATATTAATTTTATCCCACCCTGTATAAATTTTTGGATCAATTTTTAATTTGATTCAAAGTACAATAGTTAATTTAACTACATATGAGGTTGTACCGGGTAAATTCTGTAGAACTCTCTATATTTTTAAAAAGTGCTCACAAAATTTCATTTCAATACACACTGTCGTTCTCCGTGGAGCCTCCGCGGCGTATGAGAGGCGCCACCCTGTATGATCCACTGCACAATTATGTTTTTTTACCAACCTGTTGTGTAGTCATAGTTTACTACTGACAACAGGAAAAGATAAATCGTCGGTATACAAGAGATAGCGACCAAGTCCAAATTTTCGTGTGTTTCATTTTTTTTTAAATATAATATTTAAAACGCCATATATTTTTACAAAAAAAAACCGACTCCATTTTTTTGTTCATAAACTCCACAATGTGACATTACACAATTGTTAAAATACATATGTAAAAAACGAAAAAAATACACATAAATAAAACATTTGTTACTAATGGACTTGGTCACTTTCTCTTCCACAAAATATACACCAAAATATAGCAAAAAGTATCTGGTTTGCTTCAATTAGTAATTTGGTTCAATACTTCAAAAGTGGTAATTTCAGCTAAATTAAATAATGACTACTAGGATCTCTACTATCAGAAATCAACAGAAGAATTAAGTTAGCATGGGGTATTTATGGAAGGAATTCTGGCACTTTATCTAAAGAAAGAAACATTCGACCAATGTATACTACCATTCATGATCTATGCATGCGAAACCTGGACACTTAAAACGGACATTATAAGGAAACTGCAGGTCGCACAACGGTCAATGGAACGAAATATGCTGGGAATAACCAAGAAAGACCGTAAAAGAATAAAGTGGATAGCGCAAAAGACCCAGGTAATAAATGTTATCAACAGAATCAAATATCTCAAGGGGAATGGGCAGGATACCTGGAAAGAAAAACGGATAACAGATGGACCACAAAAATTACAGCATGGCACCCACGAGGAATTAAGAAACCTAAAAGAAGACCGAACCTGAGATGGGACCACGATATTAGGAAATTAGCAGGGATAACTTGGGCCCGCATAGCTAACAATAGACAGCAATGGGCCCATTTTGGCCCATTTACGAAGAGAGTATCTAAATATATGAAATGGTTGAATAAGCTGAAAATTTTGATGATGATAATGATGATGAATAGTCAATAAAACATTTGTATTCGTGGTCCCACATACAGAGTTTTGTGTTGTTCGAATTGTTATTAAGTTTACGATAAACCAAGTTTGGAAGATTTTAAATAATTCTAATAGCAAATTTCATTATAATTTGATCGGGAATATAATGTTTTCAACGTCCAAGACAAACTAGATCATAAAACTTCAGAAGTTTTATTTATAATCTACAATACTTATAAATAATAATCTATGTTACTGAACACTTACTTGAGGCAAATGGGGTTTTCCAGTCAAATCTATGTATTGTCTGACACTCTCTTTTAAGGAAGGTCCCAACAAGAAAAATACGTCCAAAGTACCTCCGTTAACCATAAAATAAGCGGATTTTCTGTTGTTATCTATATCAATAAACATTTCAGCGGCATTGTGAACAAAGATTCCAGAAGTGTTAGCTCTAAAATACATATATTTTTGTTAATTATATTACATAAACCCAATGTTATGCGGTTCTTAAGAGAGTTTTGCAATTCCACACCAAGAGAGAAAATCGAAAAAAAAATGAGAAATATTAAAAATAAAATAAATTAATAAAATAATCAAAAAAGCAAAAAAACAAAAGGAAAGAAAAAAAGTGAAGAACTTGAAAACAAGACTTAAAAACACTAAAGGAAATTTATCTATTATGTTATTTAGAATGTATATCAAAAGATATTCTTACCCAAAACCATAAATGACTGGAACGGATCCGTACATCGATTCCGTTGAGTTCAGGTCGTATCTTGTAGTACCATAATCGGTATTTCTAAGTCTGTAAGGATCGGTACGTAAATCTACTGTGTGTTTTAAAGCTAGGTCAGCAGCGTGCTCGTGTAGACCCAACAGACGATCAGCATCAACGAATCTGACGGAGAACGTGAAATCTTGGTTATCTTCAGTCTGTAACAAAAAATAATAATTTAATACATATACTGTATCCCATTTTTTTCTTGAATATGTAATGGATTGTGATTTTCGGAATTGCATTCAAATAATCTTCTTTAAGAGAGAAAAATAATATCTGCAAAAAATCTGCTCCGGCCAGTCATTCAACACCACCATCCTAGTATAAAAACTAGGGAAGTGCAAACCTGAAGTATGTGCTAGAATGTATTTCAGGATAATATTTTAACTTTTATAGGGTGGCTCAAAAAAGGGTAAATGGCTTTTTTTAAATGGAACTCCCTGTATATTATTGCATTTTTGGCTTCCTTTCGGATCACTTATCTCTCGGACGTTAGGATTATGTAAAATCCTAAGATATGATTAAATATATTTCGATAGTTTAAGTGATATTAATAAATAAATAAAAAATGTATATTTTTCAGAATTTCTTAAAAAATTATTAAAAAAACCAGAACTGTCCTGTGCTCTGAATGAAATAACTGAACTGTCCCAGAAATCAAAACTATATTAGGTACAAATTTACTTTAGATGGTATGTACTTACTTTGCTATAAATAATGGTAATCGTAAATCATACAGGATGTTCAAAATTCAACGACAAACTTATTAAAATGTAAAATAATTTTTCTTCGTTTTTTTTTATGAAACACCCTGTATATTATTTTTTTAATAGATGGAGAATTGAAAAAATTACATTTTTTTGTATTTTGAGCATTTCAAATTTTTTAAAGGTTTGCAGATATTCGCGGTTTTATATTTCATATGGCAGTTTCCACAGTAAATTTTGATGAAAGCCACCCAATGATTTTTGATCTCGTATTTCGCCGTTAAAAGAGTCATAAAATGAAATAATACTGCGTGTATCTGCAACCTGCGATATACCTTAAATACAAAAAATGTTCATTTTTGAATTCTCCGTCTAATAATAAAATAACATACAGGGTGTTCCATTAAAAAAAAGCAAAGAAAAATTATTTTATATTTTAGAAAGTTTGGCGTGGAATTTTAAACACCTTGTATGATTTAAGGTTGCGATATTCATAGCAAAGTAAGAATATACCATCTAAAATTAATATCTAATATAGTTTGATTTCAGGACAGTTCTTGTATATGTAATATTTTTTAAGAAAGATTAAAAAATATATTTTTTTATTTATTTATTAATATCTCTGAAACTATCGAAATATATTTACTTTTTTTATCTCGATCCACTCACACTTTTTTGAGCCACCCTATAGAAGTTAAAATATTTTCCTAAAATACATCCTCGTACATACTTCATTTCTGCACTTAAAGAAAATTCTCAAGTTCCTTATTCTAGGAGCTACAGATGCCCGACGCATTACTGCCGAACCCTGTATAATGAATGCACAGTATAAGTATTTATTTAAATAAATATCCTTAAAACTAGATTAATTAACAAAACAATAATTCAGTCATAAAGTAGCCATAAAGTAAATTCAGTCAGCCATATAAAGTAAATATGAAAAAAATATATACACTATACCGGGTGCGTCTTAAAATAGTGGCTCACCCCTATAACTTTTTTATTTTTTCAGATAAAAAGTCGAGATTTGGTATGTTAGTATATGGCACAAATTTGGATTGGTTGACGTATTCAATTGTTTTCGGTCACTTCCTGTTTCACCGGAAATTAGTATAACTTTTGATTTTTAAATGGTACCGTAATTATTTTGTTACTTTATTCGATAGAAAATGACACTCTGAATAGAATGAGATATCATTTCAAATATGGTTTATTTGAAATTGCAACATGCGATTCATAACGATAAGTTGACAGAAATACCAAGTGTGTGGTACCAAATTATTCGTAAAAAATGCTTTTTCTAAATATACTAATGAGCCACCCTCGTTCCATTTGAAAAAATTGAGATATGTATATAACATTAAACGATCAAATATATTTTTCCAAGTCTCCTTGATTAAAAAATAGTGTTTTTAACACAGTCAAGGCACTCTAGATTGAAACTTAAAATACAATTTTGCTTTAAGAGAAAATGTCAAAAGTTGACATATGATATGTCATTATATTCAGAGTGTCATTTTTTATCAAATAAAGTAACAAAATAATTACGGTACCATTTAAAAATCAAAAGTTATACTAATTTCCGGTGAAACAGGAAGTGACCGAAAACAATTGAATACGTCAATCAATCCAAATTTGTGCCATATACTAACATACAAAATTAAAAAAAAGTTATAGGGGTGAGCCACTTTTGAGACACCCGGTATTTCCATTTCTGCTCACTAATAAGAAACTGAGTAAAAATCTGAAGATTATTAAAAGAACGTGCTAATACTCTAATTTATTAAAATAATGTAAAATTATGAAAATTTTGTAAAATAATGATACAAAAATGCATATTGATTTTTGGGACTTATTTTTATTTAAGTCAATTCTCATTTTTAATCACTTACATTCTGGAAAATGATTCTGTTGCCCTCAAAAACGGATTCCAATACGTCATTATGGTAGAATTCGATACTCAATGGAGTTAAACGGACAATCGCTTTATTTCCATTACCATCTGAAGCTGTCACAGCTGAATCTTCAACTGAGTCCACGGTTAGTCTGAAATATCATCTTTTATTATTATCTCCTACCCTCACCGGCACGAAAAACGGGCACCTTAAAATTTTGATGTATTTTAAAATTTAATACACTCACCGGCAAAAAAATCCGGCCACTAAAAACTAGTCCCAATTTCAAAGTTGGATTTCTCGCGAACCACTCATTAGATTTTGATGATGTTTCTTTTGAATTCTAAATTAATTCCTTTTTAATGGATGCTACGTCAGAAATTTATATTCCGAACTTATTTTGAGCATATACAGGGCACAACAATAAGACGAAGTTTTTTGCCCGAACTTTGTAACACCTGGAGGGTGCAGCAGCTGTAGCAGCTATTGCTAAATCAAATCACATTGTAGCCTCATCATTTCTGAGCATTTTGTTTTTTTAATCACGACATTATCTCTGTTTGTATTGGAGATAGGCTGCTTTAAAACAAACGCCTCGAAAAAAGCTTTAGTCTATTGCTCAATATCCGAATTCACATGTAAACGCACAAACTGAAGACGTGCTCAACGATGTCTTGAAAGTAGCTGGGGTCCTGTGACAGACCTCCTTGGAGACAAGCTGTTTTCTTTTAATATTCGACGGATTTTTCTCTCACTAACTTGAGTTCTACGCACGGCTTATAGCAGATGTTGATTCTGAAGCGCTGTAATTCTACGATTTCGTAAAGTATTCAGGACAATAAAGCGGTCGTTAATTGCATTTGTCTTCCGTTTTATTCCGGAACCCACTCGCCTAATACCCAGGGAGTATTACCGGCCTAATACCCCTCGAGGTATACCTAGGGTATCGGACTCATAACGTTGACTTCGGCCATCCTCAATTAAAGTCACAATACGAGCAACATCTGTCACAGATAATGGCATTTTTTAATTTGACAACCGTTGTTGTCATATTGCAAATACTCATAAATCTGTTTTCGCCTATGTTGCCGTGATTATTTACAGATAAAACTTTCTGCCTATGAAGCATTTTTCCGAGACGTTCGTTTTAAAGCAGCGTATCTCCAATACAAACAGAAATAATATCGTGATTAAAAAAATAAAATACTCAGGAAATGAGGGTACAATGTGATTTGATTTAGCAATAGCTACTACAGCTGCTGCACCAGTGGCGGCCCGTCAGGTGAGGCAACTGAGGCGCCGCCTCACCTCGAAATTCTAGCCTTTAGTAGTACACAAATTTATTTCCAGCTAATCGTATATTTATATTATAGCAATATTAATATTGAATAATTTTATTAAAATATACCAAGCGAAATTTATTTCCAGCTAATCGTATATTTATATTATAGCAATATTAATATTGAATAATTTTATTAAAATATACCAAGCTTTTTACTTTTCGACCGGTCTAAACCAACCGATCGCCCCATATCGTTTCTGTTTTAACTGGACTACAATGCATCTTTTCGGTCTACGTTACTGAGGCGTAATTTTTGCCGCCTCTGCCGACCTTTTTTTATCAATGAACTAAAACGTCACACATTGAAATCAGTGGGTCGGGGAAGCGGAGGGAAAGCGTGAAATTAGCTGCTGCAGAGGCGACAGCCAAATCGCTTAAGTACAACGCTGTTGCCAGATTAATGAAAAAAATCCATTCTTTACAAACTTGATTGTTAAGTTCAAAAATAGTTCGTGCTTGATATGGCTGGATAATGCGATATTATAATGCTCTTTGTAATTGAAATTAATATATTAAGTGATCTTTACGACCCCATCAATAATTATGGAAATAATATCGTATATCAAAGAGAGTATAGAATAAATTTGAATAATATGAACTCTTGGCATCCACGCAATACTGGTCAAAATAATTAACTTTAGATATTTCAGGGAATTACTAAACGTCACGTCTGTTCGGTCGGTTTGTTTTGTGAGTAGCAAGTAGTGTGATCTAGCCGTAATTTTTTAGAGTTTAGTAATTTATTTTGTAATAATCAGACTTTAAAATGAATCATGTACATGACATTGTGATGTCCCTTCTAGAAACCCCATTTTCCAGAAGACAGGAGGATGAAAAGCGAGAGGTCTTATAGGGAAACAGAGCTACTCCCCAGATAAGTGTTATAACAAATGATAAAAAGACAAATTAACGATCCCGATTACAAGTGTTCAAGCCGAGCGGGATTTTTCTTGTCTAAGACGGATAAAATCTTACTTAAGAAATACAATGTTACAAGATAGACTTTCAGCTTTGTCTTTATTTTCAATTGAAAAGGAGCTGTTGGTTACCCTTAGTGAGAACGAAGGGAAGTTTTATGATGACATAATTGATAAATTTGGTATTCTTAAAGACAGACGAATAAACTTAACCTACAAGGAATAATTCTTATACAATTACATTTTTTAACTATTTTTTACCTGTTTGTTTCTTATTTATGTCGTCGCGTCGTGCGTCGTAGAGCTTGATGTGACAAATTTCGTCTTACTAACCGAACGAAAACCTCAAATTAGAGCTGTTATATTACGATCATTAGACTAGTTATCTAATACCTAATATAACAAAAAAATAAAGAAACAGTTCCGATGATGACTTTTTTAATAAGTTATGCTTAGAAACTTATTATATCTGAGGAGCCAAAAAATCTCTAGCTTATTGTTGCTTAGCTGCTTAAAAAAAACAAAAAGAAAATAAACACATAAAAACAAAAAAAGTTCTTATGACATTTTTTATAGGTTAAACCTTCAAACATATTATATCTGAGGAAAAAAAATAAACTTGTTGCAGCTTAGACCCCCCTCCCCCGTCTTTTTGTTTTCGTCCGCGTTTGCGTCGCCTCATCAGTTCTAATGGTCACGAGCCGCTACTATGCTGCACCCTACAGGGTGTTACAAAGTTCGGGCAAAAAACTTCGTCTTATTGTTGTGCCCTGTATATGCTCAAAATAAATTCGGAATAAAAATTTCTAACATAGCATCCGTTAAGAAGGAATTAATTTAGAATTAAAAAGAAAAATCATCAAAATCTAATGAGTGGTTCGCGAGAAATCCAACTTTGAAATTGTTAGTTAGTAGCTAGTTATTAGTGGCCGGTTTTTTTTGCCGATGAGTTTATATTTTGTTCTAGTAGGTCGATTTTGAAGATTTTTTAAGCAATTTATAGCTAAATTATTTTACTTTTTAATTATAAAGTTATATAGTTTATATAGTACTTATCACTTTCTAAATTAAAAATGAAAGTTACCATGGGAGTTTGGAACCCAGAGTTTGGAACACGCTGTGGAATATGTTAAAAAAGCAAGGCATTTGAAAGCCAGTTTATCATCTAAGTACATCTTTTCTCGATAGAGTATTTTTATAGCATTTTCAATAGCTTCATTTTTTTGGAGATATTCACTTTTAAAGAAGACACTAACACTTTTTCGTAATTTTTACATTTAAACCCTGCTTTTGCTTTTGGTCCCAGTCAACAAACCTATGAATTAATGTTTATAATTTATGTAATGTCACTGTTATTGAAAAATCATATTATTATTGTTTGTTGGCTGTTGGGCAGTTGCTCTAGCAGAGATAGTTGTAAGGCCAAAACTTGTATCCGCTATAGTTGCTTTAATTCAAGATGATAAAGATCAAAATTATGTCTAACAGATTTAGGCGTGCACGAAGTGCGGTGCAGTTACTTCCTCGAAACAAGTTCATATGCTAGACGTCCAGGAACCTTCGTATGAGAACTTCGAATTAAGACAATCGGCTTATTGTAAGGTTATCGCTAAGAAACCGCCGTTTGCCAGCTTTTCAAATTTATAATGAATTGCACCTAAGGAACGTACATGAACGTACATAACAACACACAGCTTACTAGGTCTGTTGACTGGGACCAAAAGCAAAGGCATAGTTTTAATGTAAAAATTACGAAGAAAGGTTAGCATCTTCCTCAAAAGCGAGTATCTCCAACAAAAAATAAAGCTATTGAGATGAAGCAAAAAAAAACTATTGAGAAAGGATGTATCCAGATCACAAAAAGCTTTTTAAATTCCTTGCTGTCTGTCTATCATATTCCACAGGGTGTTGCAAACTTTCACCAAAATATCAACATTTGGTGTTCCCTCGTGTAATTGACAGATGGAAACGTAAGTTTTAATTTAGAAAGATATACTGAAAAGCAAATGATTTAACCACATATTGCTTAAAAAATCATCCGATTTTGATTTGCCAACTAAAACAAATTACAGGGTGGTCCGAACTGTATTCCGGAAACTTCGACAGCATATTCTGCAGATAAAAATAAGTAAAAAAGTTCTTATAAATGTATGTCCTAAAATGCTTAGTTTCAGAGATACAGGGTGTAGAAGTTTCATTTTTATTTCGATTTTTTCCAAGTAATTTTTGAAGTAACGTCAATATTTGGATGAAAATAGGTGTCTAGGAGTTTTTTAACATGAGAAATTTGATTTTGATGTCAATATGACTCCTACAGGTAGAGGGCGCCACCTACATGTGCTTTAACTGTTTTGAAGCGTAATAACTTTTTGTTCGTACTTGTATAAAACTACCGAGGGAAAAAATATACATCTCTGTGATTTTTTACGTAAAAAATATCTCTTTGTAAAAATCGCTACGACCAACCGTTCTCAAGATATTTAGAATGGAAATAGTCAATACATGTCATTATACAGGGTCCGGCAATAGTGCGTCGGGCATCTGTAGCTCATAAAATAAAAAACTTGGGAATTTTGTTTAAGTGCAAACCTAAAGTATGTACTAGGATGTATTTCAGGAAAATATTTTGACTTCTATAGAGTGGCTTAAAAAAAGTGTGAGTGGATCGGGATGATTTTTTTTTAAATGGAACACCCTGTATATTATTGCATTTTTGGCTTCCTTTCAGATCACTTTACATAATCCTAAGACATGAGTAAATATATTTCGATAATTTCAGAGATATTAATAAATAAATAAAAATTATATATTTTTCAGCCTTTCTTAAAAAATTAATTAATAATACAAGAACTGTCCTGAAATCAAAACTATAATAGATATTTACTTTAGATGGTCTGTACTTACTTTGTTATAAATATGGAAATCGTAAATCATACAGGATGTTTAAAATTCTACGCCAAAGTTTCTAAAATATAAAATAATTTTTCTTTATTTTTTTAAATGGAATACCCTGTATATTATTTTTTCAATAGATGGAAAATTAAAAAATGAACATTTTTTTGTATTTAGAGTATTTCAAAATTTTTAACGGTTTTGCAGATATTCCAAGTTGTATCTCATATGGCATTTTCCACAGTAAATTTTTATCAAAGCCACCCAATGATTTTTCCCTCGTATTTTACCATTGAAAGCGCCATATGAAATCCGGAAAAGTATTAAAAATTTTAAAATACTTTAAATACAAAAAATGTTCATTTTTTAATTCTCCATCAAATAAAAAAATAATATACAGGGTGTTCCATTTAAAAAAACGAAGAAAAGTTATTTTATATTTTTGAAAGTTTGGCGTAAAATGTTGAACATCCTGTGTGATTTACGATTACCATATTTATAACAAAGTAAGAACAGACTATCTAAAGTAAATATCTAATACAGTTTTGAGTTCAGAACAGTTCTTGTATTTTTAATATATTTTTTTAAGAAGGATTGAAAAATATATATTTTTGATTTATTTTTTAATATCTCTGAAACTATAGAAATAGATTTACTCATATCTTAGGATTATGTAAAGTGATCTGAAAGAAAGCCAAAAATGCAATAATATACAGGGTGTTCCATTTAAAAAAAATCATCCCGATGCACTCACACTTTTTTGAGCCACCCTATAGAAGTTAAAATATTTTTCCGAAATACATCCTCATTCATACTTTAGGTTTTCACTTAAACAAAATTCCCAAGTTTTTTATTCTAGGAGCTACAGATGCCCGACGCACTATTGCCGGACCCTGTATATTGACGAAAAATAAACACGTTGAGTAGATAGTTATTTCACTGAAATAATAAGTTTGGAAAATTTTTATTTTTTTAAATTAATCATAAATTTTTCTGCAAAAAAATGATGATAACATAGTTTCTGGCACAAATACTTTCAAATTTATGATCTCAGTCTAATAACTATTTAGTCAACATGTTTAATTTATGTTATAAATAAATTAATATAAATATATTAAGGTATCGATAACTTCGATTCCAAATATTTCGAAAAACAATACTGGTAGCAATTTTTACCAAGAGACATTTTTTACGTAAAAAATGTCGTAAATGTATATTTTTTACTCGGTAGTTGACAGGTACGGACGAAAAGTTATTACTCTTCAAACCAGTAAAAAAATATGTAGGTGGCGCCCTCTACTAGTAGGAGTCATATTGACATGAAAATCAAATTTCTCGTGTCAAAAAACTCCCAGACACCAATCTTCATCCAAATATTGACGTTGCTGCAGAAATTATATGGAAAAAATCAAAATAAAAATGAAACTTCTACACCCTGCATCTCCGAAACTAAGCATTTTAGGACATACATTTATACGAACTTTTTTACTTATTTTTATCTGCAGAATATGCCGCTGAAGTTTCCGGAATACAGTTCGGACCACCCTGTATATTAAACTTTAAAATACTTCAAAATTTTAAGGTGTCGGTTTTTCGTGCTCAATAGTCTATCAACTCAAGAAATCGTTGTGTATATCTGTCATTTTTTTATGTTTTCTGTCTATCATGTATTCTGCTGCTGGATAGATTACTATAGCTTTGGAATATATTATTTTCGAATGTTTTAAACTGATTTAAAAAAGACGCTTACGGAGTGGTTGTAGGTTCCTTTTCAAGAGAATGTTCCAATTTGTATCTGTGACGATCTGGTTCTTCAACAATGACACGGAACCTGTTGTTTTCGATTCCACCAAGGAACAAAATCAACTCGTTGCCGGCTTTATTCGACAAATTGAAGTTCAGTGCTCCATCAGTCAGTCCAAGGTATACTGCGTTATATTCTTCATTTTCGTTGGGAAGTTTTATTCTCAAATCCCTGTAAACAAAATTATATATAAATGTTATTGTTAACACAATTTTATTATATTTCGTTAAATTTATTTTGATTTGAATAATTAGTATTGAATAATTAATTTAATTATTAATAATATTATTGAATAATTAATTTGGATTTGAATATAAAGAACATTAAAATTAATTTCTAAAACTTTTCAATCTGATGCACTCAAATGTGGATTATGTTTGAGTATTGGAAGATATGTTTAAGTATTTATTTTTTTTTGGGCGGAAGCAGTACTAATGAGAATTGTTAGATCATGGGCTTGAAACACCCTCAAAAAGAAAATTCCACTCCTAGAGCTCCCGGTGGATGACTTGCCAGGAATATACAACTTTGAGAAACACCTCACTGTAGCATTGGGCAATAAGAGGATTGGAAGAGAGAAACGTTTGCTCAACATGTAAAAGTCCATATCATAACGTGGTATATTGATGCTTCCAAAACCAAAGCGGTTACAAAGATAAGAGTTTTTGGTTCGAAAACTAAATACTCCGAACTAATGGGTACCTACCCCAGGCAGAAATCTAGGCTATTGAAACATGCGTACAATTTATCTTAGATAGGAACTATCGAAAGCAGGAAATAGCCATCTTACCCGATAGTCACGCAGCACTAAAAGCGATCAAGTCAGTAACCATCAATTCAAAGTTGATCAAAGAATGCATATAGAAGCTGGACAAATTGGGCAAAGATAATAAAGTCCTCGTACTCTAAGTGCCGGCTCATCAAGGGATAATAGGCAATGAACAAGCAAACGATCTAGCTAGAAAATGAGCAAACACTCCACTAACTCTACCAGAACCGTTCTGTTTTTCAAGTGAAAAGCAACTTAAAACTGAATTCAAGAACCTGGAAAACTCCATCCGTAACCTGGAGTGTGAATCCTCCAACCGTCTAAGACACTCAAAGAAATTTCTCAGAACTTACGACCGAGAAAAATCAAAGATTTTTCTTGATTTAAGTTTTTGGTTGATTTAAGTCTTGGTTTAAGAACAATATTCGCATTGTCGCGGTTTTTAACAGGACCCTGTCTCCTAAATAACACCTCAGTAGATTGTAGCTAAGAAATAACGGCGAATACAGATTCTGTGGGGAAAATGAGGAAACACCAAAACACCTCATCACTGAATTGGACTTTAATTAAATTGACACATAAACTGGAATTAAAATTATGTTTTAATATAGAAAAAATATAATGTGTATCGAGTAGGAATGGTTTATTTAGGAAAATTGCAAAAAAAAAATTTGAAAATTGTTTTATTTGAGCCAACTAAAAAACATTTAACAATGAAACTTTTTTAAACAATAGTATTAGTTTAAAAAAAATGTATGTCAACATTTAATAATTGATATCTAGAGGTCTAAGAGGAAAATTTTCAACCGAACGATCGTCATTAGAAATATCACTTTGACGCCGTTTTTTAATGTAAAACTTATTCAATAAACCAACAGCTATTGAATTAAATAATCTTAAAAAATACCTAAAATATTTTGTAATTTTCAGTGGTGCATACCAAGACTTTATTTTTTTACGAAGGTATTTTACTGAAGGTATTTTTTATATTTCTTTTGTTAAATAAATTGGTAAAGAATAATTCACTTTTGATTGGAAATAACGCTTGCCGTGCTTCTTCATTTTTTTTATGTTTTCTCCTTTTTAATTTTTTAATGAAAACGTACTCGAACGTGTGCCAAATTCATGCGAAAGGCTTTTTTTGACAAAAACTGAACTCGATTGACAATAACCGTCAATTTATAAACACAGATAAAAGAAAATAACCATCTTTTATAAACAGGTCATTTAATACAATAGTAACCTGGCAATAAACAAAGTTCGTAATACCAGCGTTAATAAAAATATACCGAAGATTAATAACTGCAATATTTGTGTCGTTTTAAAATGGGGAAAATATACTAAATTCAGTAAGAAATAAAATTATCTATGTACCACGGGAATTATAAGATGTGAATAACCTCGGATAATGATTGTCAGTGACAGAAACTTTGTAGACGATAGTTGACACCTTATAATTACCGATACATAAATGACTATTTTTTCTATGAAATATATATAATCATATACTTACGAGCAAAGTGTCTTTGTAGAACAGTTGAATGGAAAAGGTATGTCAAGATTTCTGTCAGCTACGACTACTGTCACAGTAGAGGCCAAAAATAGGCCTGCTACCACTGCTAATGCGTACCTACAATATTAAAAACATAATTAAACTATCTATTTTAGATTAGTAAGTAACAAATTAATAAATAAAACAATTTACATAACAGAAAAATATACTTAGATCTACAGTATGTCCCCGGACTGTCTTTATAGGAGGAAAAACTTTTTTATTGTTGACATTTTCAGAAAAATGCATTCTTCATAAAACGTTTTGCTTGTTCTAAAATGGATAATCCCGTTTATACTTTTCGAAATTTCCTTACCGTTGTAGAGAAAATTAAGAAAAACATGAAAATATAGTAGAATTTTTGAAAATCCTAAATATCAAAACGCGTTTCTATGATATAATATAACTTGGTTTTCATAAGTATACATGATCTAGGGTAGGGTTTTCATTCTTTGATAAATTGTTATTCATAGAATTTTAATTAACGTAATATTTTTGGATGTTTTAAAATGTTCAAGAAGCACAAAATTTATTTAGTTTAATGCTACGGAAAGAGTGATGAGAGTTATCGGAAAATTTGATGCTTTAACAACAGCAAAGGCGTTAATCAAAATTAATAATAACCATCTAACAAATAATGAAATCGAATTGATATTACCATAAAAACGCTTTTTGTTTTTTAGGATGTTTTTTCTTAATTTTCTCTAAAAGGGTATGGTAATCTGGAAAAATATAAACGGAATTAACCATTTTAGAAGAAGCAGACATTTTTATGAAGAATGCCTTTTCTCAAATGGCAATAATAAAAATGTTTTTCCTCTTGTAAAGACAATCCAGAGACATACTGTATGTATATTTATTTGTGGAACAAAATTAATCAAAATCATAATAAATAAAATATGCAATGCATGTAATCCTTTAAAAATTGAAATTAAAAATAAAAAAAAATATCAAAATTAATATTGTTAAAATTGACATATTAAGTAAAATAAGAGTTTTTTTGTATTCTAATGGGTTAAAACTATATAATAAAAACTACAAAATTGCGAAATTTTCCTTACCTTAGCATGTTAGGCACAAGGTAACAACAACAACTAATGCTCACTTGACGTCCGGCTTACAAATGTCTTCCCATTTTATACTGGGGTGTATTTAATCAGCGATAAACCTACTTGAACCCGATAAACAAAAACAAAACACTCAAGGAGGTTACTACCTGTATTATTTCATCTGAATAATCGTATTGCTTTTAAGTGCCATGCTCTGTTTAAATGAAACATTCTTTTTTGGACAATAATAAGTCAATAGTTGTTTTACACAATGTATATGATTTCTTTTTTTTTTAATAAAACACAAAATGAAAATTACTTTTTATTGGGTATACTAACTTGCAAACCAGTGATCAAGAAAAATGCAATGCGATAAGAATGGATAATAATGTGTTTATACAAGAAACCGAATAGTGTAAAACAAAAAAACAACCTTAAATGAATAAGTATACCACAGCAAATAAACACAATAATATCTAACATATTAAATAATCAACTATATAAGCTTTGCAATTGCAGACACAGGCCAAGGACAAGATCGTGGTCATGACATGTGAAACTGCTAAAATAAGTGTATTTATTTAGTGGATATACCGGGTGATAACTAAATCATTGGGTGGACTGCTATTTCAGTGATTTTTATCGTATTAATTTGAAATTTAGGTAAAATATATAGGGTGATTCACGGCAATGGACGTTTATGGATACCGGATCTAACCGGTGATAGAATTTGTTAGAAAATTTGAATTTTTACATAAGGGCAACTTCCCCATATTTTTTAAGTATTTTCGGCATTACAGTTTTGCCGCATCATTTGAAAAGTAGTTGCATTTTTCTTATTTTAAACGGAACACTCAGTATATTATTACATTTTTCATCGTCTCTTTTTTAACATTTTTCTATTTTACTAACCTATAAAAATAAAACATGTGTAAAATTGACAAAAACATGATCGTGAATAAGCATTACATGGCTTCACGGTCAATAAGCATTAGTAAAATAATTAATACGAAACATATTGGATATTGGATATTACCGAGGATATTACACAGGGAGAGCAAAATATTATTTAATTCCGTTTGTTGTAAAACTGCTCAAATCTTTGTTACTTTAAAATCAACACTATGTATATTATTTAAAAAATCAAAAGGCTAATAAAATTGCTTTTGAACGGTATTTTATGTGCCTATAGTTAAACCTTCCGGTTTCGTATTAGAGCTATTTAAAAATTAATAACTCTATTATTATAGTCTCATTTCAAGAATTTCGTTATTATGTTAATTTTAGAAATTTAGCACGTAAAATTTAATTATTGATATTACAAAGTTTGAATATTTGTCATGGTAAGGATTTTCTTTAAACGAAACAATTATAATAGAATACTCTCAACTGCTCTTAACTCACGCATTTTGAGTGAGTTAAGAGCTTCTTAACTCACGCATTTTCATTACCGCACTCCTTGTTTAGATGACTACTACTAAAGAAAAAAAAAATTTGTAAAACATTTATTTTGCACTAAATACCTACTAAATACAAATAAACTGTTCTATTGATAATAATTATAAAAACATGAAACATTTGTTATAAATGTTGATGGTACAGTTTGAACAATCTTTCAAGTAAATGCCTGATGAAGCATATACAGAGAAGACCAGGCTACTAGTAACATAGCAAGTTGCCGGACGAAGGACTTGTGTCTAGCCCTAGCAGGCAACTGTTAAGCCCGACCAATCACGTTAGAGTTTTTGACAAACACAAATGAATTAACACACTCCAAATAACCACGCTAACCAACCTGATTGGTCAAGCTTAATAGTTGACTGCTAGAACTAGACACTTCTGACGAAGGTTCGTTTACCCGATTTGCCTTCGTACTAGAGATTCACTGCCGGCTAGTCGGCTGGTCAGGCAGTACGCAGTTGCAGTTGTGCTTGGACGGGTCGGTCGTGACACTAGGGATACGACTAGGGTTCCCAACCGTCCCGGTTTAGCCGAGATTAACCAGGAATCAGAAAGTTTGTCCCGGCAAAAGTTTTGCCTTGGCCGGGACCTGGAAACTAAAAAAATGTATGTACTACACACATAATATATTTTATTTTCTAATATTTAATGTCTTGCTTCAATTATTTAAAAGCTAAAAAATAATTGTCCCGGAATCGCCGATGCTCAAGTTGGGAACCCTAGATACGACCCGAGGAGTGCCGAGTATTTATTATTTTCATTTTAAGTTTTTACTATTACTTTAATGTAATATACTATTACAATTGTTACAAAATAATCGACTGTAATTTGGACTGACATTGTCTTCGTTGGACTAACCGAATGTAAACGTTATAGTAATTTCAAAATTGATTTCATTGTCAGTCCAACAAGATATTTTAATTCATAATTTATTATTGTCTACCAATTTCAAGGATCCACTGTATTCTCAAGTAACCATACCATTTTTTATTTTTAATTTACCAAGTCTTAATTTACAGAAAAATATCATTAAGTAATTAAGAATAAAGGTGACAGTACAATGCCTCTTTATAAGTTTCATGGATTATTAGTTTTAAACAAAACTTAGTTATTATAAATAATAAAATAACATCGAATATATATTTTCAAAAAACTTTTTAAATTAACACATTAACATTTTTAATGTTTTGGAGACCAATACCTTCTTGACTCTGTAGACTTATTGATAATTATTATCTTTAGCTGAGCCTTGTAAATAATCTTCAAATTGTATTGACAAACAAACTCGTTACGTGGTATACTTGTTAAAAAATTAGTACTTACACCTGACAAAATAAGTGACTTGGGGGTCTCCTTTGTCCCTTGATTTACAGTTGCCCTTGTTTAAGACTGTTTATTAGGAAAAATAGAAATGAACCCTAAGGAAACTAAATTTATGATAATCACTAAGAGAGAAAATGTCCAAGTCAATGTTCTAATAGATGATATACACCTATGGAGAGGGTACAAAAATATAAATCTAGGCAGTTGGTTGACCGAAAACTTGGATCAATCAGCAGAAATAAAAGCTCGAATAGAAATAGCCAGAGCATCCTTTTTAAAACTCAAAAAATGTCCCTGCAGTGGAGACATCAACTTAAAGCTTAGATTAAGAATGCTAAGGGGTTACATATTTGCAACTCTACTCTATGGTTCAGAGGCTTGGACACTTAAAAAGGCCAAAATGGAGAAACTTGAGGCATTCGAAAGATGGTGTTATCGGCGTATGCTGAGGATTGCATGGACTGACAAGGTTACAAATGTAGAACTGCGACGCAGAATCCAGAAGGACGAAGAGGTGATTAACACCCTTAAAAAGAGAAAACTTGAGTACTTTGAACACATAATGAGAGGACCTAAATATGCCCTGCTGCAGAACATAATAGAAGGAAAGATAAAGGGCAGAATGAGCCAAGGAAGAAGAAGAACATCATGGCTCAAGAATTTGAGAGGATGGTTTGGAATGACTTCAAACCAGTTATTCAGAGCAGCCGTTAACAAAGTTAGAGTTGCCATGATGATTTCCAACCTCCATTAGGAGATGGAACCCGAAAAAGAAGATTAGGAAAAATGTAAATACAGTGTTCAAGGTTTTTTTTTTGTAAAAACAGCTGATTGATATGATCATGTTCTTGTGCTTCTGGTTCAGGGTCGGACTGGCCATATAGTCAGGGTGGCGATTATTCTTTATTTTGCTTACACAACGTTTCACTCAGAAGTATCACTGACCTTCATCAAGTGTGAACTAATCTAAATCCTAAAACTACTGAGCTAATATACTAGATCCGAGCATTCACCCGTGAACTAGTTGGGTCTTTGGTTGGGTGCAGACAAGCATGAAGTGGTCCACCAAGAATTAGAGCGTTTTATGATTGGTTACCATATTGTTGAAATTTCCATACCCTTTTATGTTATGTTGCTTGGACCACCCATAATCTGCAATGCCCGAATTCATTAGTAGAGTATTATTATTTTATTTTATTTGATTTAAACAGATAATTTTGCTTTCCGTCGTGTTTTCATCGAAAAAGACCCTACCAATTATTAGAATTGTTGATATTTTTGATACACTTGTACACTAATTCTACACATAGAAACTAGCGTAGAATAATCAATAACCAAAATTTGACGTCGAATTAGTTATTTGATTATTTTGATTATCTAATTTAAACCGACCGCCTATATTAAAAAGCTAAATATTAGTGATAGGATAACTCGAGCGAATATTTGCTCGAGTACTCGATTATTGAAATAACCGACATCGCTCGATTATGAACGAACGATGCAAGTGACGAGTACCAAGCGACGAACGCAAGCGATCCTAGAATGAAATAAATTGAAATCCGATTTTAATGTGACATACTCGATAAAAAGCCGAGCGAATTTTCTACATACATTACAGGTAGCAAATTTATACGACGCCGTATATACCGGATCCGTCTCAAAAGTGTATAACTTTTTTATTTTTTTAGATAAAAAAAATTAGATTTGGTATGTTAGTATATGACATAAATTAGGATTGACTGACGTATTCAATTGTTTTCTGTCACTTCCTGTTTCACCGGAAATGACTACAATTTTTGATTTCTAAATGGCACCCTCGGTATTTTTTTACTTTATCCGATAGAAAATGACATTCTAAATAGAATGACGTATCATATGTCAACTTTTGACATATTCGCTTAAAAACAAATTGTATTTCAAATTTCAATCTAGAGTGCCATGACTGTGTTAAAAACACTAATTTCTAATCAAGAAGCCTTGGAAAAATATATTTGATCGTCGAATGTTTTTAGTGTCTTGCCCTGGCCGGTTAAAAGATGCCCAAATCGTATTTTTGATCATATCTCAATTTTTTTTAAATGGAACCAGGGTGGCTCATTAGCATATTTCAAAAAAGATTTTTTTACGAATAATTTGATACCACACACTTGGTACTTCGAGTTAAATTGTCTTTATGAACCACATGTTACAAATTCAAATTCAATTTCAAATATATCATATGCGAAAATGTCAAAAGTTGACATGTGATATGTCATTCTATTCAGAGTGTCATTTTCTACCGAATAAAGTAAAAAAATACCGAGAGTGCGATTTAAAAATCAAAAGTTGTAGTCATTTCCGGTGAAACCGGAAGTGACCGAAAACAATTGAATATGT